TTACAACATTAAACTAGGTTTTCTACCTTTATCTTACATCTACCTACCACTTCAGCATTTTATTAAAAATAATAATAATAATAATAATGAGAGAAATGTGGGATCCACATATAAATCAAGTATAAAAATCAAACAAATATTCATATTTGACCTGATTGTTTATAGTTCATAATGCATGATCAAAACGCAAAGTTTCTGTGATGACTGCCCTTGTACTGTTCACCATGTAAGAACTTATTCACTATGTAAGAATTTGTTCACCATATAAGAATTTGCTTGTTATGCTTCAGAAGATTGGAGACTGATGAGAATTAGGCTTGGGGTGGATTAATGATTGTGCATTGAGCATTGACTTCCCTATACAGAATTCTATTGTTAACAACCATTTGATCAAAAAAAAAAAAAAAAGAAAGTGAGCTGAGACTTTCTGGAGGAAAAACACTCCAAGCAGAAGCAAGCAGCAGCAGGAAGGCCACTGTAGCAAGTGGTTAGCTTGCACACAGTATTGTCAACTATGTTAATGACTTTATTATGCTGCGGAAGCTATCAAAGGTACTGCATTTTATGACTATCAGTCTTACCTATTATATAATATGGTTCGTGCTGAAGATTCCAATAAAGTTAATGGTGTTTGTAGCATTATCACTGGAAGGGCTTTTGGTTGTTCAAAAGTATTTCCAAAAAGATCCAAGTACTCAAGAGATAAATCTTTAAATTCACTAGGCAAAAATGGAAGCTTATTTCGAGCTGCTGACAAAAAACGCAGATTTCTCAATTTTCCCATCTTGAAAGGAAATCGAATCAATTCATTATCGTCAAGTTTTAAATCTGTAAGTTCTTGGAGCTGACAGAACTGCACAGGGAGTGACTTAATTTTGTTCTTGCTGAGATCTAAACTCCGAAGTGACTTTTGCAGCGTCGATTGACACAAAGCTACACTAAATGACTCCAAGTGATTGTCATTCAGGTTAAGTTCTTGAAGGTGAATGAGGTCTCCAATTGTAGCTGGAAGCTTTTTTATATGATTGTGACTCAAGTCTAATTTCCTAAGGTTTTTTAAGCAAAGCATACGCATATCCACTCGGACAAGCCCACAATATGAAGTCTGAAGATGTTCCAGAGAATATGGGAAGTTCTTGCTTAGAGGATAGTCCTTTTTGGATGTAATAACCATTTTAGTTTTAAATTTTTCAAATTCTGAGGTCTTCACTGGTGTGAGGGTTGAAAGTGATGCCTCTACATCACAGCCTCTATGAGCCAGTCTCACTGCTGAAAGGAACCCCTTTAAACTGCTGGAATTGGCCTGAATAAATAAAAATAAGTAGTACAGTCATAAATTCCACTTTAACAAATGCATGCATACTAAATTCATCCTATAACAAATTCTGTGAAGTTTTCTATGCAAATGATGCAATAATTTATTGAAAAAAGCTTTAAAAATAATTTTTTTAATATTCAATTTTTATTGAATTTCAATAGAGGTACAAAAACCTTTAAAAGTTTTTGAAAAAATTTATGTTGAGAAACACTGTAAATAAAACTGTTCAAAGGGGTAACCATGCATAAAATACAACAGGAAATCATATAGAGTTCACTCAAGGTTGAAGTTTAAGATGAATGGACCCAAATCTCCAACTGCCTGTGAGATAGGCAGAGGTAGTGCTATGCACTGCAAAAAGTCCAGGGTGCCATTTACAAAGACTAGGAATTGTGAAAGGCAATGGCCCTGTCAAAAGCTGGGCCAAATGGCACCATTAAAAGTGCTAGAAAATATCAAAAGCAAGAGAGATTGCTTCCAGCTCAACAGAGAAATCATTAATGAAGTGGTACGTAAACTAAGTCATCAATAAAAATAACTAATACTTGCAGGATACTTTAGAAGTTCCCTCAAGTTTACATGTGAAGGACTAATGAACTTTCAGCAAGAAACTTAAGTTGTGATCCCACTTGGATGGTATGTGGGAACTTTGTGAGGAGTAAAAGATGAGAAATACAGTATGGGGACAGTATAAATGAGCTTGATGTCAAGGTAAGGAGGACTAAATGATCAGGCTGTGGGAAATCACTGAAGAATTTTGAGTAACAGAATTACATGACAAGAGCTAAGTATTATTTTGGTGGCAGTATACAGTACACAGTAGTGAAGTAGAGTGAGGAAAGTCTGGAGACCTGGGCCAAGTAGGCCCAGTAGATGGTGCCAGACTAGACTTGGAAAACAAAATAAAGGCTCAGCTATGGGAAATGGAAGGGAGATATGGAGAAGAACAAGCAGAGATTGGAATAATGCCTCTATTTGGGGTACAAGAAAAAGGTTTTCAGAGTAGGAGACAAAGGAGTTGCTGAGAAAACAGGTGAGCCAGGATAGTGCTTTCACAGATGCCAAGTTTTAAGGTGGGACTGGTCATCAGTGTCAAATTCTAGAGCTCAAAAAGGATTAAAATAATGGCAATATGACAGGGAAATAGAAGTCAGTGATCTCTGAGCAGGTTTTGAATAAACCATAAAAGTAAAAGTTAAAAGAGAGGGTAAGAAAGTGGAGTCAATGATTTTAGCCTTGTCTTTATAGAAATGTGTCTATTCTGTTTTATTTTAATTGGTAAGATCTCAACTTGTTTTTATGTAGAAGACAGGTATCAGTGGAAATACAGTCTGAGTATCAAGAGATAAAAAAACCCCCACAAGAACAGAAGGAGGTAGGACAAAATGATTCCACTCAATGCAAATACTTTTAATGTTTGCAAAGCACTTTGCTTGAAGTTAAGGATAGTGCAAGGTTGAATAAGACATTGCTCATATCCTCTGGGAAGAGGTAAGAGAAAAGGGGGAGATAAGGCAAAGAAAAGTTTATTCTAATGGATTATTTTTTAAAATAATATTTAATTATAATTTAATTATACCCCCCCCAGTAGTTCTAATTGCATCTTATCCTTTTTTTACACCAAATTTAGATTTATAACCTGTGATTCTGCTGGCAAAATGTAGACCTGTGCCACTTGCCTTACCGAGTTCTAGTCTAAGAACACCCTAAGATTCCATCTTGGACACAGAAACAAATCAAGTTTTCCTCCTGAGGCTGACTGCATTTTTAGACCCAGAGAAGTATGCCTGGGAAGCTGTCATTTCTTCAAACACACCTGCAAATGTCCATCCCTATTCAGCTATGTGGAATATCAGAATGCTAAATTGCCTCTTTAAGAAAATATAGCCAATCAACCCAACCTGTAACATTTTTAATATCATACCTTACAAAGACAGATATCGACAGGAGGCTCCTTTAACCGAACAGTGGCTTTCCCCTCATCCACAAATTTGGTGAAGAACTGCTCAATGTTCTCCTTTAGCTGCTTAAAAACAAGGGACAAAAACAGATATTATTATTCAATACTGTTTATTGTAACTGGATGTGCCAGTCACTTTGCCAAGCTTTGGTTTGGTTTTTAGTCCTTAAATCTGGGTTTTTTATGATTTTAAATTTTAAAGTTTTTTGCTTGGTTTGTTTTGTTTTTAGCAGTTGGGTAGTTATACTCCTTATCTAACTTATGGTACATATTACTATTCTCTGTCCAGTAACTTCCCTCTTCTGAGAACAAAACCCGTGTTTTGGGAGAATACTCCTCTTCTCCCATTCCAACTGTGGCTGTAGTAATAGATGCCAATAGTAGTTACTTGCCTTAACTTCAGTCCATTAGTCTGGGGCAGGAATGTTTCCCACAAGATTACAAACTCCTTGAAAGAAGGAATTTTGTCTCCTTTGTTCACTGTTGTATCCCCAGAACACACTAGTGATGGACAAATAACAGGTGCTCAAAAATTTTTCAAGACTGATGTTGCTTCTGCTTTAGACTTAGTAACTATCAAGAAGTTGCTCTGTACCAGGAACTATGATAAAGGGCTTGGGAGTAGTGAGACAAGCATGGTAATTACACTTAAAGTTGTAGTGTGTTACAATCTGATGAGACAGTTATCTAAGAAATTGTAAGCCTAACAAGTATTAAGACAAGGCTGCTCTAAAACCTTATATACCAATAGAATCTTGCTTGGTCTAGGGATATGAAGGTGACTTTAAAGGTGAAAACTGAAGGATAACACGTTGGGTATGTGAAGATACTGGGAGAAGAGAGAGGGGATAGCATACCAGTAAGGAATAATGTGTGCAAAGCCTGGAAGGCGAGAGAGCTTGACAACTGTGAGGAGCTGAAACAAGTTCAGAATGGCTGAAGGACCCAAGAGGCAGGTGAGCCTGAAGAGGTAAAGAGATGGTGCAAGGCTTTGTAAACCATTTTTTCCAAAGAATTTTGGATTTGATCCCAAGAAAAATGATATACTCAATGACTGTAAGCTGGAAACATGGCTAGATCTATATTTTGAAATATTCTCTTTAAATTAATCAGTCTAAGAACTGAACTTTAGGGAGGGGTGAATGGGATGGGGGAAGGACAATGGTAGAGATAGGGAGATCCTCTGAGACTAGCCAGGCAAGGAATAAAAGTATTATCATATAACAGCTGGGATGGAAGGAGGTATGAAAATCTGAAGAATACCCAGGAGGCAGAATTGAAAGGATTTGATAATACATTGGGTGTGGAGAGGCAAGGTTTCTGGATGGGTCAGAACACTTTTTAATGAGTTGCAGAATACTGCCAGAAGAGCAGGTTTAGGGGTGGCAAGAAAAATCAATTTTTAGATATTTTGAGTTTGAAACGTTGCAACACATCCAAGTGAGTATTTTCCAGTAGACAGCAGATTCAAGTTGGAAGTTAAGGCAGAGGACTGGCTAAAGGTACAGATTTGGAAATCAGTCGGATGGATGGTAGCTGAAATCATGGACAGAGAAGTAAAAAGTGTAAGAAAGGTACTTGCCACACTTAGCATTAGTACCTACTCTTCAAAGCTCAGGACCAACACCACCTTTCCTCATTCAACAAATGTTTACTGAGCACCTACTATGTTGCAAGCCCTGTGGCACCACTTCTTCAAAACTTTCTCAGAAACTTTATTCACAATTCGTTTTTGATACTGTACTACTTTGCTTCTATCTTTATGATAGTATTCATCATAGTCAACTTTATATTGTAAGTAATGGTTTATTTTCCCCTTTGTCTTAGAAACACAGTGACTAAATCAAGTTTATCTTCCACAATATCTAGCACTACACCTTGCGCACAGTAAGTCTTCCACTAGCAGTTTACAATAAAAGGATGATTAACAACTGACTACTAGTGCTGAAATATTAAGGGTGAGATCATTACAGACTTTAAAAATAGGAAGTACTTGAGCTGGGCATAAAAGTGACAGGTTTTGGGGAACATAAGGGGGGAGAAAAGGGGGACCCAATTCTAGTTGACTTTGCTTCTATCACCTAACAGTTTTCTAACCTATAAAATGTTGGGTGATTTCTAAAGTCCTTTCAATTTGAAGAAAAATTATGAGTTGATTCTGACAAGGGGCAACTATTTACACCTTCAACTACCTCCTTATACTAAACATTAGATGTCTCTGAATGAAACAGCAATATCCCTTTCCTCACCTATTCACTGTGGAGTACAACACCATAAGGGAAATAATCCAAGAAATTGCATAAAATCCAGTCAAGAGTCACGTGCAAAGGTGGGCAATGAACTGTCCCCTCAACTTTATTTACAGTAGACAACAAAGGTAGTCCAGTCATTCTAACATAACAACATAGTGCCTGGTAAGGAAGGGAAACGATTTTATAAAACCTGTACTTTAAAAAATCTATTTCAACTTCTAACTGCTTCTAGAGAGTTTACTACTGCTATGTTCTGGACTTAAAAAATCAGGCCTTAGGAAATTAAACATTAAAAAAAAAAGACAAGGATGCAGTAACCAATAACTTTAATAAAAATGTCAAGATGCAACCCAAAGGGTTACTGCTTTACTATGTATTAATGTGGCCTACCGACCTTATTTACTATTCATTATCCCTTTAAGCCTTAAAAATAAAAGCTACCGAATATACTGAGAGGAACATAATTCATTGAATAAGAGTGCAGTCATTTTCTGGTTCCCCTAAAGTGGACTGCTGCTTCATTTATAAGTTAATTTCACGAAGGCCGAATTTTTAAAGGCTTTAGAAGGATGGGGTTGCAATGCTGTTGTTTCGGAGTTGCAGAAATGGGCAGGAAAAATAATCAGGTGCACTTTTTCCCCCTCTTTCGGGTCTACAGGGAGATATCCAGAAACCGGGATGGTATCCAAACCCCCCAAGACGGACTCCAGCCTTGGGAACGCCCGGTCGCGTGAGTCCCGAGGGCGGCCCGCCTCTCGGCTCAGGGGGACAGCTAGTGGCCGACTCCCCTGGCAGGGCCTGCTCGCTCCACGCACCTCATAGCGGGTCCCGCGCTTGTCCTTCAGGGTGCAGATGAGCAGGCAGACGGGGTGCCCGCCACCCCGCTCGCTCCCAGCCCGAGGCCGCGGCTGACTCCTGGGCGTCTGCTGACCGAGGCTCAACACTGCCCGGACGCCCTTGCCTCGGTTCCTCAACCCCAAGGCTGGCAAATGCCGACTGACCACCTCCACCTCGCAGTGCAGCTTCATCCCGACCGCGTCAGCAAGCGTATCCGCAACTCCGCTTTGAAACTCCGCGCTTCCCAGCCGCGCCGCGTAGCGCCGGGGTCCTCGAGTATGCGGCTGTCCCAGGATCTGCCTGCCTTCTGGTCGTGCCAACATCGCGGGCTTCCTCAAGCCAGTGGCTCTGTGGATCTTGCAAGAGCATGTCCTCCACCTTGCAGGGCCCGGTCCTCACTGACCACGGGTCGGCAATCACGGACACCGACCGCTCGAGGACCCGACTCGCGGCTCCAGAAACCGGCGATCGGCGAGGGCGCCATGTCTTTTCCCGGGAGCGCGTGCGGTTGGTGGCGTTAGGTATTATTTGGGGAGGAGTCTTAGTTTCCTCCGTGGACGCCTAAGAGGTTACCGCACGTCTTGGGCCCCCGAATTTCTTGAGGGAAGGCATGTGTCCCTCTGTTAAAGAAGGTTTCTTTACTTAACGCATCTTCGCCACTTGGTCCATTACGAGCTGCTAGCGCCAGCCAGAGCGCGGCATTTCCTGACGCGAATGGGCTGTCGTTTTGTTTTGTTTTGGTGGATCTCGTCACTCTGGAGCCAACGCTTGTTACGTCGGAACCCGAAACGGAACTTGATGTGACAATATTTGACTTGGCAATTTCTGTTGAGTAAATTACCACTTTGCAACCGCTGGTTGGTTGGGTGGAGTGACTGGCTTAACTGGACCTGAGACTTGAAAGACCGTCCAGACCCGTGTGCCCTTGGGCTCTTTCTCTGTTTATAAAGGACCAGGGTCCTGGTTGTCCTCGGGAGGCACATTTTAAGCAGGCTGTCACTCTCAGGTCGTGGTCTTACCTCCCTAAATTTTGCACTCTAGGCGCTTCCCGGCGTAACGTTGGTCCCGGCCTTGTATTAAATAATTCTATTTCGTCTGAGCTGTACTTTAACAAACGTGGAATCGCGTACAGAAAAACCTATTTTCAATTCAACTGGGACAATACAACGACTTAACCTTTGTCTCTGTTTATAACATCTTGAACCTAAAGTGTTAAAAACTGTTGATTCCTTATTCTGATAAACGTAATTGGTTCATGAAAAATACTTAAGATAATAAAAAAATTACTTTTAAAATTTAGTATTCTTGCATGTAGAGCTTGAAAACACTACTCGGCATTTGGCAACAGTTAATCTTACGGTTTGTGAGAAACAAAGTGACGTTTTGTAATTTTCAGACTTTCAGACTTTATGGGAATTACGCATTTTTGTTCTTTGGATAATAATATAGAAACGCCAGTCTAAAGCATTACAAGTACTTTAAATATACAATGAACCTCTAGGAACAGTTGGGAATTGGGAAAATCTTAAATATTGTATAAGCCATTGTAATCTTAGAGTAGAAATGTATAAAAAAATCAAGAATAAAAAAAAAGCCCCAACCGTTTATTTGGTGTTACTTGGGTTGTTGAAGCAGGGATTCAGTAATTAAATGTTAAGTAATCTAATTATATGAAAGTTACTTAGCAGTTCCAAGATGATTTTAGAGTAGAACAGTGGTGTGTACTGCGAAACGCAGATTCTCAGAAAAGACATGTGATTCCCAAAATATTTAAATAAAGTAATATTAGACTTAAGTAAAATAAAAATACATTAGATTTTGAGATCTCATCTCCGTTACCCCTAAATTCCCCTTAGTTTATCCATTTTTAATGGCTGAACTACTCGGATCTGATGTTAGTTGGTGTTAGTGGACTGTTCATGAAGCAAACGATTCTTGGGATACCTATCCACAACTTTTCTCTTTACCACCATACAAATAAAGTGTGCCTGTTGACTCCTCCTACCCTCAATTACCTCAGGCTGCTTTGCACTGCAGACTGTCTGAACAACTTGGAAATACACAATACATTTTAAGCTGGGCTACAGGTTTTTGATAAAAGGATCCCAAGAAAAGCAGATTTGTTTTCCTTCTGTAAAATTGGTTCCTTTTCTTCCTGGCCCACATGATACACTCATTCCATGTTTTGTTCATACGAATTCTATAAATCTTCCAAAACCCAGTTAACACTGAACTTTCTTTAGCATCTTCCTTTTTAGAGTTTGAAAATACAGTTGAGCTGAAAAATTTTTTTTGTCCCCTGAGTTTCTGGTGCGTACGAGGCTTTCAACAGATAATTGAATCTCTTTTCCCTTCAAATGTGTGCATAGTAAACTTCATTCAGTTAGGTTTGTGGCTCACTTGAGTTCAAGCTAATAAAAGCATGATCACATATGAAAGAGTAAGGACAAATGTAATGCAGTGTAGACTTGCCTGCCCTGGCACATGGGGACCAGATATTGGCGTTATTTTTTTAATGTTAAACTTAATCTAAACTGAATAAAGCTAAATAGTTAACAAATACATGACTAAGCACTCGACCTCTACAGTGCTGCTTTGCCTCTGTTGACACCCTGATCACATTTTATAGGTGTGTTTCTGCTATGATTTCTTAATTAATGTCTACCTTTCCATTCTTAGTACTGCCATGTCTGCTGAGAGTTGTATTACTTTCCTCAAGAACTATCCCTAAACTTACTAGGTCTTCTTACTTCAATATATTTATTCATTTATTTAATATTTATGGTGTTGCTGTATGCCAAAATGTTTAAAAGGCAAGATGAGTTTACAGTTTTTAGGAGAGACAACTAAAATAACAATTATACAACAGTGTGATAAACATTCGAGTATAAAGTAGCCAGATGATGAAAACAATTTGTTTGCTAAACCAAGGCCCTTGAACTTTAGCCTGACAGTTTGGGAAACCAATTAAAGTTTTCAAGCAAGGGATAAAATGATGACTTGTTTAGGAAAGGTTACTGTGTTCAGCAAAGAAATTAATTTGGAAGTGGAACAAGCCTTGAGGTGGGGACCAGTTCAGAGGGTAATGCCATACCCACCATCTACATTGCTGCTAAATTAAATTTCTTAAGGGCCTCCTATCACAGAATCCTAAACTTCTGGAGCTGAAGTATAGTTTACAGGTATCCTAATTCAATTCTCTCACTTTATGCACGGGAAATAGAGGCTGAAAAGAGTAAAGGAATTTGCCCATGACCTCACCATCAGTGTTAGAACAAATAGTGCTAGAACTCAAGTTTCATATCCTGCACTTAATTCTTCCCCCAAACCTCATGGGTTTCCATTCTTTGCAATTTAATTAAATACAGTTGCCCAAAAGCTTGTCTCTTGTTCTTTTCAAACTCCAAGTCCTATTACTTATCTGGATAAATCTCCCCAGGGCAGCCTCTGTACTTTTCAGTCCTGCTTAGCACCTGTTCTTAGGGATTCCTTGGAGCTCACCTCTGCATTTTAAAATAAAAGATATTTCTTCTAGCATTTTTGGGTGTTCACAGCAAGAAGAATCTTAGGTTATCTCTTCCAAAATATCATTATATGGTTTACTAATTTAATGCATGTTGTCACCTTTAGACTATAAGCTTCCTAGGAACAGGTTCTGAGTCACTATTATATGCAAGGCCCAGGTTAGTGGTCACATACAGTAACTACTCATTGCATATTTGTGGAAAAAATGAGTAAATTAATATTCACTATTTATTTACTCATTTAACAAATATTTATGAGGGCCTGCATTGTGCAGGAATAGAGCAAGCTTACAGACTAGTGTGCATTCAATTGATACTGCTTGTGTTGAAGTCAGTAGTAAGCTGCTTGGGAAGGAGGGAAGCTGGATTTCTGCCTGGCTCCTGGAAGACAGTGAAATAAATATTAGGTGGTTCAAGATATGAAATAAAAATAAAAAGGTAAAAGTATTACAAGAAAACAGAAGTTTTTCAGAATTTTGACACAAAACCTTTAGGAATTAAGGTAACAAGTTGATAGATTTTAATCAATAAAATTTAAATGTTTTGCATGGAAGAATATACTAGAAACAAAGAAATAAGAATCTGGTGATGTGGTGAATGAAATAATTTAATAACTAGTATAAAGGTCAAAGGGCTTATTTCTTTGCACATAGGAAAACATGCTCTCATCAAAATTTAAAGTGAAACAATACCATATTTGGGCTAGCATAAGGAAAGATATAAAGTTTGTTAATTTACACTGTTGGGGGTTGTGGGAAAACACATATAGGCATACATCTTGGAGATATTGCAGGTTTGGTTCCAGACAATCAGAATAAAGGGAATATTGCAATAAAGTGAGTCGAATGAATATTTTGGCCTCCCAGTGCATAGAAAGTTATGTTTCCACTATACTGTAGTATGTCAAGTATGCACTAGCATTATGTCTAAAAAAATAATGTATGTACACACCTTCATGTAAAAATACCTTATTGCTAAAAACTGCAAACTGTCACCTGAACTGTCAGCAAGTTACAATCTTTTTGCTGGTGGAGAGTCTTGCCTCATTGTTGATGGCTGCTGACTGATTGGGGTGGTGGTTACTGAAGGTTGGGGTGGCTGTGACAACTTCTTAAAATAAGGCAACAATGAAATTTTCCTAAATCGATTGACCATTCCTTTCAAGAATGATTTCCGTGTAGCATGTGATGCTGTTTGATATCATTTTACCCACAGTACAGCTTCTTTCAAAATTGGAGTCAATCCACTCAAACCCTGCTGCTGCTTTATTAACTAAGCTTATGTAATATTTTAAATCATTTCTCATTTAAGCAATTTTCACAGGATCTTCACTAGTGGTAGATTCCATCTCAATAAACCACTTTCTTTGCTTGTCTATGAGAAGCCAACAAGCAACTCCTCAATTGTGAGGGTTTTATTATAAGACTGCAGCAATTCAGTCACATCTCCAGGCTCCACTTCTAATTCTAGTTCTCTTGCTATTTCCACCACATCTGCAGTTACTTCCTCCACTAGCACTAGGATATCAGAATGCTCAAATAGCCTCTTAAAGAAAATACAGCCCCTCAAAGTTATCCATGAGGGCTGGAATCAAGTTCTTCCAAATTCTTGTTAATCTTCATACCTGAACCTCTTCCCATTTCATGAATGTTCAAAATGGCATCTAGAATGATTAATCCTATCCAGAAGGTTTTCAATTTACTTTTTTAGGGGAATCATTATCTATAGCAGCTCTCGCCTTACAAAATGTTTTTCTTCAATAATGAGATTTGGAAGTCGAAATGACACCTTGGTCCATGGTCTGCAGAATGGATGTTGTGTTAGCACTCAAGAAAACACATTAATCTCATCGTCCATCTCTATCAAAGCTCTTGCATGATCAAGTGTACTGTCAATGAGCAGTGATATTTGGAAAGGAATTCTTTTTTTTAGCAGTAGTTCTCAACTACTAAACAGCTTAAACTTTTCAGTAAATAATGTAAATAGATATGCTGTCATCCAAATTTTGTTGTTCCATTGATAGAACACAAGCAGAGAAGATTCTGTATCATTATTTTATTTTATTTTATTTTGTTATTAATCTACAATTACATGAAGAACATTATGTTTACTAGCATCCCCCCTTCACCAAGTCCCGCCCCCCACAAACCCCATTATAGTCACTGTTCATCAGCATAGTAAGATGCTGTAGAATCACTACGTGTCTTCTCTGTGTTGCACAGCTCTCCCTGTACCCCCACCGCACATTGTACATGCCAATCATAATGCCCCCTTTCATTCCCTCCCTTATCCCTCCCTTCCCACCCATCCTCCCCAGTCCCTTTCCCTTTGGTAACTGTTAGTCCTTTCTTGGGTTCTATGATTCTGCTGCTGTTTTGTTCCTTCAGT